GGTTTTAGTATTACTTTATGGCATTAAAAAAAGCTTTGCGTGGACACTAGTCCCAATGGACAAGCCTCAAATGCGGCTTGCCACTGTCAGACTGTGGGCTAACTTGGAGCACCTTCCAAAAGGACAATTGTCCAGCCAGTTTTGGGTTATCCCAATTGACCGGCAGAGCTGTTAGTGTGTACATTCTATTGTGATTTAATCTATTGCCACTTCCCATTTCTTCCAGGAGCGAAGCCAAAAGGCTGGCGTGACGTCCTGCTTGCCGAAGGCCCGGAGAACTTTGCTCGCGCTGTCCGCCGGCACCAAGGTCTTCTGCTAATGGACACAACCATGCGTGACGCCCATCAGTCCCTGCTGGCCACGCGTGTTCGCACCTACGATCTGATGCGCATCGCACCGTTCATCTCCACGACTATGCCACAACTCTTTAGTCTGGAGAACTGGGGGGGTGAGTTCTCTTTTCTTGTCGGCTAATCCAAGTGCCATTTTTGTTGCTCTACCACTTCTGTCGCCTGATGATTGATGCAGTTCTGCAAGAAGGTAGCTTAGCGCCAATTCCAGGAGGACTTTGGATCGTTTGCCTGAAAGACTGGTGGGAAATTTCTATTTGGCTCTAATAAATAAAAATAAGGCCTACCATAACATTTGCAGACACCAAGCAATTTGGTTTTAAGACTATCATTAAACAGTGATGTTTGGGTTTTAGTCAATCCTTAATTGAGCTTGAGCGACTCAGAGAGATTTAAATTTATTGCCAAAGATTTAATGGGTTTATCTAAACCTACTTATTTTGTACATAGTAGTGTCACTGTTCTTACTTGCGAATAATGTTTGCCTTTTTTATAAGACTCCATTCCTAGATATTATCAATTTATACACAATATTTCTAATTGAATCATGTTTGGGGTGTTGCTTGGAGCCATGCAAAGTCGAAATTTGACTTCAACTTGATTGAGGAAGTTGTTTGGTCTTCTCTGACTTGATTGTTGAGTCACTCATGATGACTGAACTATTCATCGACCTCAGACCTTTGATCTTTCATTCCAGAGGCCAAGTTTCACATGCAGTTATTTTCTCATTTAATTTTTTTCATTTCGAATTGTACATCCTGAGAAGGTATTTTGCGTACCCGGTCACAAT